ATTAGCTTACATTTTATGCCTCCATCGTTTTTCGTACCTAATTGCATTTATTTGTATGACTCTTTCGGAGTGGTGACGTCTTTATGTGATGATGAGCAATTAATGTTATGCCAACAGAATTATTTTTGATAACAGAAGGCTCTAGAATAAAACTTATGTACAAAAAACTAAGTTGTAAGGTTTCTAAAGCATTATAATATAATATTTTGACTTTTGATATTGTTTTAGGAAAATTTATCTTTTCATAGAACTTTATTGATTTCATTTTGTTACTCATATAAAATGAGCAAATAATACAGTAAAAGATTATTGAAAACATTTTTAATATACGCCGGAATTTCACATCATTCATCATAACTTTTAACAAACAGAATTATATTCGCATTCAAATTTATTGGCTTTCACCATAACAAACATTGAATTTTTAGAAACGTAACAAATAATAAAGATGTTTTAGGCACACAAAAATTAATGTAAAAAATTTATGAAATCCATAATTTGTATTTTGATTCATAAATTATTCATCTAACGGACGGTCCTTTACTAGATATAGAGGAAAAATTGCTTCCCTTGTCAACAATATAATTTTGAAATAATTTATAACGGACTGTTTGCGTACGTTTGGGGAAATGAATGTTGTTACAAAAATCGAGGTTACAGCGTATTTTAAGGAGTATTAATAGGATTGTTTTTAAAATAACATAAACTTCACAGAATACAATCCAATCATAGCTTACCTCAAGACTGCGAATGACATGCGACTGACGAGTAAAACAAATCAGACTAGACAATGTGAGGTGTGTCTGGATATCCTGATGCATTAGGTTATTAGGTTATAAAATCAGAACTAATAAAAGACTGGAGCTAAATAAAGCGACAATGGCGCAACTAGGCGAATGCCGGTACATCCGGGAACGCGGGCGGGTCAAGGTCACGGCCCGCGGATCGATGCAGCTACGCCGCCCGGGCTACGCCCCGCTACGCCGCACGTACCCCTCTACGCTGGCACGACGCTACGCCCGAATCCGCAAACTTTTTAATTCCGCCTTATGACGTCAGAACGTATTGGATCGGGAGTACGGGAGTACTTTTATAATTTATTTTCTTTAATAAAACCTACGCTATTACCGCGAGCGTTCGATTAAATTGATCGGGGACTGGAACTGAAGTGGAAACGTATTAGAAAACCTTATTTATCTTTAATATTTGAACGGAAATGAAAATGTTCGACTGAATTATTTTTACATTCTTTTAAATAAACAATTTTTTTTTGCTAGTTATTTTTTTAATTTTACTAGGTTCGCTTGTGTCTTTCTTGAAATGTTAAGTAAAATCTAAAACTTGTAAATTCTATTGCATTATAATTATATTTCCAGTTATTGGATGTTTCCCTTAAAATGACGCTTTTTTTTAAACTAAACTCGATGGTCAATTATTTAGTTTAAAAATCGTTTTTAATAGTTACAAACCAAGAATTTCCCATAAAAAAATAATTAGGGCACTTATTTTAAGAAAAAAATAGGACTTTGATAGAAATGTTGCCAGACCATTGTTTATCTTCAAGGCGGCGCCAAGTAAGTCATGGCATTAGGTCATGAGACCGTCGAGATTCTGTCTAGGTTTCGACTAGATTGAGGTTACATTTTAGGTTGAAACGAAAGACATAAAATGAGAAAGACCTTTGTTTTATTCAAAATTATACATTGAAATGAAAAAAGGCATTTCTTTGTTGAATGTCGTTACTTTTATACTCGTGATTTTGTTTATAACTCTAGTAGTTGAATTTTTTAATTAAAATCCGTTTAGGCTACGTCATACTGCCGAATTTCTCGCCGTTAAAGCTAAAACGAAATTAACCAAAACTTTTGATATATGGCCGCCTATTACGGAAATGACTTTCGTAAACAAAAACTCGTGTTACTAATGGCCTTACGTCGAAAACGCCCAAGAAAAAAACCAATAAAACGTAGAAAGTAAATAGTATTGGAACCGAAAGCTTTCCGTCTGTATTACCTTTATTTTTATTCANGCCGAATTTCTCGCCGTTAAAGCTAAAACGAAATTAACCAAAACTTTTGATATATGGCCGCCTATTACGGAAATGACTTTCGTAAACAAAAACTCGTGTTACTAATGGCCTTACGTCGAAAACGCCCAAGAAAAAAACCAATAAAACGTAGAAAGTAAATAGTATTGGAACCGAAAGCTTTCCGTCTGTATTACCTTTATTTTTATTCATAAATTTATATTATAAATATATCTCATCACGTAGACTAGCCAAATTTTGAAATGGAACAGACTATGCATAAATTGTATTTTTGACGTATAGTAGTTACGTGGCCATCAAAACCACAACCGAGCCGCGTGTGAGATAGGCATGTCATAGACATATCGTAGCGCTTAGGTAACACCGAAGAGGGAAGCTCATAGTTTTTGGTCAACCGTTTCTATAGATAGAGATATAGTTTCTATTTACTGTTGGTAGGACCTCTTGTGAGTCCGCGCGGGTAGGTACCACCGCCCCGCCTAGTTCTGCCGTGAAGCAGCAATGCGTTTCGGTTTGAAGGGTGGGGCAGCCGTTGTAACTATATACTTGAGACTTTAGAGCTTATCTCAAGGTGGGTGGCGCATTTATGTTGTAGATGTCAATGGGCTTCAGTAACCACTTAACACCAGGTGGGCTGTGATAAAAATAAAATAAAAAAAGACTAAGATCTAACTTACTTAAGTAGTTTTAGTTAAATAACTAAGGAAACGTTTTATTCAAATCACATTTAGTTTTCCAGCGAGGCCTATTCTTTCATTTATCATGGTTGTTAACTTTCACAAAACAAATTCGCAACGAACACTAAAGCAATAAGTTAATGCTCTCAAACAACTACGGAAAAGAAATGTAACGAGCTCTTCTGGATGTTTATCTAGGGCCTTAATTGTTTTAGTTTCTGCTTAAATCACAAAATATTCTACCATCCGAATCTGTACTGAATTAGTAATTTATCTGTCCGACTGACAGATAAAAATGTTTTTATTGCCCTCGATGAATAAATCTCGAACTGGCGTTAAGTTGTTTCTGTACTCTACAGACATTACAAAAACGATTCTCAAGGTTGAATAGATTAATAAATGGCTCATTAATGAAGCAGTGCTGAAGAAATATGAGTCTTAGAGCGCCTTTTTTGAATCATCTCTAGACGGCAAGAAACAGTTACACGAATAAAACACAATTTAATCACGCATTTATTATTTAATTATTATTGCCGTGTTAATAGTTGAGGTCGAGTTTGTCGACATTTCAACCTCTTAGACGTCGGTAAACATGAAAACTATTCCAGCATTATAATGCAATACTAGAAAAGAACTACTACTAATATAAATATATAATTTGTCGGAAATATATTATATATAAAACTCGTTACTAAACTGTAAAAAACTGTAAATATTTTCAATCACACTATTATTCGAATCGGAAACATATGTAATTAAACTATTTAAGCACGATAATATTTTTATCGTTCTTTTAGATGCATTAGAATAAAAAGGATAAATTGAATTAGTGAAAAATTTGGTATGCACACTGTTTTTTCTTTGAAACTGTACCATGCAAAAGCAAAAATAAAAGCTTTTATATTTTTATTTTATTTATTTATTATTAAGCTGTTAACGTAGGTTTAATTACGTCGATGACTCAAGAAAGTCGAAGAAAATCCTGTGGACATTCTGACATGAATACAGCAATCCACCATGAGCCATGATGTCGGCTGTTCCACTCTGCGAACTGGAACACGTGAATGCTTCGCGCTTGTGACAAAGACAGCCCGGATGGTGGCAAATTTACAAACATAGACAGCTTAAATTTTAATGCGATGCTGTACCATAGTCGTGAAGGTCATTGGTGAATACGTGTTGGGTACGTAGCTACTTACTTAACAATGTTATTTAAAACATTAAGGACGTAATTACTTTTAGACGAAATGCTTACGTAACACACAAACTAACATGCTTAATACGTAGATCTTGTAAACGTAGATTACCCATGCAAATTAAATTACGTATGCGTGCTGTAGGTAGTAGATTCTATCTGAATACGTAATGAGGAAAACCCTTCAAGTAAAATATCCTCGATATCTACAGGTATGTTTTCTCTTCTACCTTAATTGCGGAAGCAGTATTTTATGAAATGGCTTCGCATGTCAAATGCTATGATATGCCCTTGTCAACGTCTTTATTACCAGCTTTATAGACTACTAAGCATACGGTCAGGGTCATAGTGCGACCTCAAGAGACGACCGCTCACCTCCGATAACGGCGGTCGAATGGCCTTTCACACGACAAGCTACCGAGAGAGGAGGTAAATGTTTACCCTCCACCTCCTACGCCGTACCAGCTGAGCAGCGGCACGCTATATTTAGGTTGCGCTGTAAATATTCGGTCCAAGTACGGAAAGGGGTGTCCCCCTACCGCGGTGGTCGGTTGGGGGGCGGCGGCCACACTATAAGCGAGTAAAAGTTGAAAGTTCACCAACGTCCCGCACATGAGTTCGCGCTGTTAGAGAGCGCTTCTTTATTTAAATTCTAAAGAACTTGTTCGCTATTGTAACCTCCGCTGAATTCGGAATGCCCAATTTAATTTTTCAATGTTGCTCAAGTACGATTTTTGTCGAAAAGTCGTTCAATTGTTTTTTTCTGGTTTTTCAATTTGCCGATTGTCGTTACGAGCCTTTATTATATGCTCTTAACGATTATCGCGGCTATGAATTCAAAGTTCATTTGCGAATTGTGATTGGAATCGTCATAATCTGCTGTAACGCAACTAAAGCGAAACAAGTTCGAACGTCATTAATGTAAATTTGAAATGGTATACAATATTCAGTGATGTTCTGTTCGCGTGTCAAAGAGAATATTCCCATATCATACATTCATTACCTTCGAAGTACAGAGCTGAAAATAGCAATTTAATTCTTACAGTAAATAAAAAGAAAAAAAAAGAATATTCTGTGCCAATAAACATATTTATTTTGTTAAAAGTTGTTTAAAAAAAAAATCAATCTCACATAAAATCTTCGTCGCGTAATATGATACTTTCCTTGTATTCGATATCAATTTCTTCTTCGTGATATGTCTGCTTCTCGTGCTTAGGATCATGGAAACTCGCAATGTTAAACACTGGGGCAGTTCCACCGAAGGCTACCCTCTCACCGTGGCTAGCTACAGCCAGGACAGTGCCGGAGGCTGGATAAGAACATGAAATATATCGGTTGTGTAGATTGATCACTTCCAGGCAATTCGTTCCGCTGCCACCGACAATGGCATATTTCCCTTTACGATTGTACTGAAACCAAATATTAGGAGGTATTATTATAATGAAATGTCTGGGATTCATTTCTGCGTTTGACAACCACAGTAATGAGACGATATGATGCCCTGCGGATATCTATGATATCTATATCTACACTTACGTATGTAATATAAAAATGAATTGCTGTTCGTTAGTCTCGCTAAAACTCGAGAACGGCTGGACCGATTTGGCTAATTTTGGTCTGGAATTATTTGTGGAAGTCCAGAGAAGGTTTAAAAGATAGATAAATAGGAAAATGCTCCGTCGGTATGATTTCTTTTGTTTGTTTTAAGTTTATTTTATACAAAAGTTTAGGTCTTTTATTTATCGATTGAGGCACTACGAACTCAGCCGGGTCATCTAGTTTGAAATAAAAAATACTTTTGCTATTGTATTATTCATCTAATCTTTTTTTTTAAATGCTATACATACGCAGACTATGACTTCACATTTCAAGGTGCGTAGCGTAATTCAGACTACAATGTAATCATATAATAACAAGTAAATCGTTAGCTAATCCACGCGTCTATAAGAGTAATAATTTTGCAAGTTTTTCCGTGTAGATAAAATATAAATTCCCAAAATTAGTACTATATCGAAATAAGGGCCCTCACAGAGTAAATCTAATGTTCGGCGCTTTAGACAGCTCGTTCCAGTAATGCCGAACCTTTTAGATTCATTGCAGTCTCCCGGGTATCATTTGCTCTTGACAGTTCAAGTAATGTTAGGCTTTACTTCGCCGTAAAGGTGTTCCAAACTTTATTATGGTACTGAAATTCAGTACTCGATATTAAAAACATTGACTAGTTTCGCTGTTATTTGAAACATCCCTGGGCTTCTGGCTAAGACATCTAGTAACTCTTGTGAAGAGTAGGATAACTGTTTGTTGCTTAAATTTAAATTTCGATCTCAACTCTAATAAGATTTGATAGCTATTTAACATGAAGAGTTCCGTAAGCTACTTTACCTAGCTCAAGCAATAAAAATAAGCTCCTAAATAGTCAGCGAGGTAAAAGTTTTTTTTTTTATTAGCTTTGTAGGCAGACGAACATACGGCCCAACTGATGGTGAGTGGTTACCGTCGCCCATGGACTTCAGCAATGCCAGGGACAGAGCCAAGCCGCTGCCTAACGTGAAGTACTCTCCACAAGCCTCGTTTGAAAAAGGACATCTCATAGCGCTCGGGAAACACCGTGGAGGGGAGTTCATTCCAAAGCCGAATGGTACGTGGCAAAAAAGATCTCTAGAAACGCACTGTGGATGAACGCAGTGGCTCCAGGTAGTATGGATAAACTCTACTCCGGTAGCGGACGGTGCGATGGTAAAAACGAGATGATGGGATCATCTCAAACAATTCCTCAGGGCACTCCCCATGGCACAACATACGGTACAAAATACAAAGAGATGAAAGGTCCCTCCGCAGACCCAGAGGTTCCACACAAGAATAAATAAATCTTCTTCTAAATTTTATATTCTTTAAAAAAACTCACCTCCGAAGAATTCCAGTATCTACACGCGTAAATGTACTCGCCGTCCACGTCTTGTCGACGATTCTGCACCCTTATTACATTCATTCTCTTCCGTGCTACTAAATCCCACACTGTCAACGCTTCCGTCGCTTGCCAGCTGCCGGCTATGCAGTGGTCCCTCTGAAAAATTAGCTCGTGGAATGAACTAGAAACGTGAAATTACAAAATATTCACAATCTAGAATGTACTAGAATACTAAAGAATATTATACTAATTTTTTTACTGGTGGTAGGACCTCTTGTGAGTCCGCGCGGGTAGGTACCACCGTCCTGCCTATTTCTGCCGTGAAGCAGTAATGCGTTTCGGTTTGAAGGGTGGGGCAGCCGTTGTAACTATACTGAGATCTTAGAACTTATATCTCAAGGTGGATGGCGCATTTACGTTGTAGATGTCCATGGGCTCTAGTAACCACTTAACACCAGGTGGGCTGTGAGCTCGTCCAACCATCTAAGCAATAAAAAAAAAGATAACAATTGAGTTGCGTGGTAACGATTAAATTCAAAAATATATCTCAACCAACTTGTTTTTTTTGTTTTATGCAACACGAGAAATGTATTACAAGTTTTGTTTGCCAATTAGATCGTCGGATAACCATGTTGAAAATTTGAATTAAAAACTTTTTTATTTTACAGCTTAGTTTCGCGTTTATTGTTTTTATTTTATTCTTCCGAATGCTATAGAGTTATTTTTGCTTTACTTTAAATTTACTTTACTTATTTACGTTTGACATAGTATTCAGGTCAAAGAGGTCGTTGTCCCCAAAATAACTAAATATCAGTAACAATTCAGCAGAACTCTGCCCAGTGACTGTTTTACTATTGAGAGACCTTTAAACTATTCACGTTCTTTTTTTTTACGAAAAATTTAACTATAGAACTCTCAATCAATGCCCTATTTCACGTAATATCAAAACCTCATAATATTTACAACGACATTTTTCAAAAAAAAAATATAATGCATTTTTTAACTGCTTAGTTGGGTGGTCAAGCTCACAGACCACCTGGTGTTAAGTGGTTACTGGAGCTCATGGACATCAACTACGTTAATGCCGCTGCCCATCTTGAGATATTAAAATTCTAACTCTCGGTTTTTACAGTACAACGGCAGCCCCGCCTTTCAAGCTGAAACGCACTACTATCTCACGGCAGAAATAAGTAGGGCATTGATACCTACTCGCGCGAGCTCACAAATTGTCCTATCACCAGTAATTACGCAAATTATATTTTTTGCGGGTTTGATTTTTATTACACGATGTTACGTCCTTCACCTACATCCCTATTTGTTAAGTACGTATTTCATTTAAAAGATCGGTACCTTCCGATGTAATACGATAACGGGCACAATCGCATCGCTCTATATCGCACTGGGCATCTTATCCATTAGGCCACGATGACTTCATAATATTTCGACGTTTCACGTAAATTAAAAAAAAAATATTAATCGTATCATTAGATCAAAACGTTAAATCTAAAACTTGTGAATACTACGGTAAATACGACTATCAAATGTTAGTCAACTTAAACAATTCCGTGCCTGTTTTACTTACTAAAAATATCTCGAAAATTTCGGTGACCGTGAAAATTAAACAGGACGACAAAAATATGACAGTGAAAACGAAAACCAAAATAATTCACGATCCGTTCGAAGGCCAACAGAAATAGAAACATTTTAATCCGCGTTAAATCTGAATGAATTGAAACGGAAAATTCATTTCACTCTGGGCGTTCGTTTTAAAATCGAGACTTGTGTTTCAATAGAAATAGCGGAATTCGTATATTCGAAAACGTATTTTTGCAGCACAACACTGATGGATTTTAACTGGTTCGAAGCTAGCAAGACAGCACACGCTTAGCTGTGACTCACTCTAAATAAATCCTGATTTACAAAGTACTCAATACGAGCGACTGGTTTTACAGTAACAGTACTATATCAGGAAACTTCCCTGAACTACTATTACTAGCTGTAAAAAATATGAACATAAAACAAGTATGAATAAACAAAGATAATTCTAAACCAAAATGCATTCGCGTTTTACGCAAGAGCATCCGGGTGATGGAAGGCCGGCTATCCTCGACCACGCTGGTTCTGACCCAGCGGGGTATTCCGTAGGATAGGTCACTCTAACAGGCGCCATCTAGGCGGGCTCTGGATGGCCTGCCGACCGAGAGGGCTGGTGGTCGTGGCGCCGACGACCGCCAGTCCGGCGTCCCCAGGGGGAGGGTGATGGGAGAGATGTGCTCCGCACTAAACACTTCACTTTCCCCCCTTTGCCTTTTCATGAGTTCTGTCCCATGTGAGGTTTGGACGTTGGTTGGTGAGCGACAGGAGGTTTTAGTCGGTTCGACTCCGACATGCTCCGTCCGCCGTCCCCAGTGGAGAGCGGAAGTCCGGCGATTTCCTCCTGACCAAAAAAAAAAACCAAAATGCATTAGATTGTATTTTTAATGATCAACTTTCAACGTCGCCGTGCTTGGTTGTTCGCTTGTACTATGAATACCGGATACACATGTACGACATAGGAATCAGCAGACTCGGGACTCGAATAGCAAAAATCTTTATTCAAGATACTGATTTCTACCCTGAATCAAGACCGGAATCCTTGCTACATTAGTCAGAATCAGTAAGCACTAAGGCATCAACGTGATTAATGCGGTAGAAATTAGTTTATTTAAAATTCCAAACTTCTTAATTTTCGCTAACATAATATAGATGTTTCATCGAGAATGAATCAACAAGGAAACTCTACATATTTTCAAACTAGACTAAAGAAGAGTGGTTTTATCGCAGTTAGTGCCACATTCAGAGATCATCATCAATTGTGATAAATTTTCTTCTTTTTTTCCATTAATTTACCATAAAACGCCGCTCGGAGTTTCCATCACCCCATTATATTTTCTTCAAATGAGGTTTGAAAAGCATTACTGATGTTAAAGAGTGACGATGACTACTTAGTATCAGGTGGACTGGTTGTCGTCTGCTTAAAATTGCAATAAAAAAAGATTCCTTGGATATTGATTGGGCTGCAGACTCTTGTGTGCCTTCCTTTTTTTTACTATACTCAACTTGTAAAAGCCAAGGTAATTTACATGATCAAAAGTCTGTGTTTCTATGCTAGTCCTCTAAGCTATGTAGAAACTTGGAAGAAGTCTTTTGGTACTTCAAGAAAAGTTTTTGTTATAGTACCATCAACGTACGATATGTGACGCGCGACTATTTTCAAGAAATTATTTTTCATACAATTATACTGGTGGTAGGACCTCTTGTGAGTCCGCGCGGGGTGGTACCACCGCCCTACTTGTTTCTGCCGTGAAGCAGTAATGCGTTTCGGTTTGAAGGGTGGGGCAGCCGTTGTAACTATACTGAAATCTTAGAACTTATATCTCAAGGTGGGTGGCGGATTTATGTTGTAGATGTCTATGGACTCTAGTAACCACTTAACACCAGGTGGGCTGTGAGTTCGTCCACCCATCTAAGCAATAAACCAAAAATTATAGTTACAGCAACGCATAACCGGGATCCAGTAGTTACTATAAAACTTTTTTATCAGATAACCCTAATCTCTTCTGCCTTCATTGGCAATAAGAAGCGGAAAATATTCAAGTGATTTACAGAACTACTTCTTAGAAGGGACTTATATCATTTCTCGACCTTGAAGATATTGAAAGCGAATTATTGATACGAAAAATTGACTTCTTTGCTTCGTAGTCACAGTAGAAATAAATATACAAAATGTTTCACAAAAATACAATCAACTTGTTCAGAATACTGTGAACAACTTAGAATGAATACCGTGTATTAGAACCAAACGATTCTTAGTCGAAATAAAAAAGATTTCAGAATTGAACTACTAAAATACGCACTGATGTAATGTTTATGTGGTATCATTTTATTTAGCGCACATAAGCTAACTAGCTTACGGTCGACCTGAGGTTAAGTGATTATGGTAGTAGCCGCTGTGGACTCACAAGTTCTTTCATTAGTATCGACAAATTAAGAACTTAGTATGACCAAGAAAACGATTATAATATTGTTACGCCGGTAAGAGTAACGCCATCTATCGCCGAATAGTCGAACGAATATCGAAGGATCTAGTAGCACCTAGAACGCTCGAGAATTACAACGCCATCTATTGTCAGATAGCGGAAACACAATACTCGAAATGTGCGGAATATTCTCGATAACTCTAGGGATGTGGTATGGGCTATAAAAGCGTTACAGAGATGGCACGCAGTCAATCACTAATCGGAACTACTCGAAGCGAAACAGCGAACGCATCACCTGAAGTGAAGCGGAAGAAGCGATTTGAGAATTTTAAAGTGTTTGTTGAGTGTTTTAAGTCTTCAAAGTGCTAATACAGTGTTAACTTGTACTTCGGTAGAATTTTTTATTTATCCCGAACCCCAGCGCGTAACAATATTCATGATAAAATATACCTACCGAACTCAATTAGTCTCAATCAAATATACTCAAATTTGTAATCTCTAATCTCTAAAAATTAGCTGCCTCTTTCTTTCAGCCTGCAGACGTCCACTGCTGGATATAGGCCTCCCGCAAGCCTCGCTCCAAGAACCGGTCCTGAGCTGCCTGCATTCAACCGATTGCCGCGACCTTCAAGAGGTCGTCGGTATCGTTGTATCGTTGGTCGGACGTAATTTTTTGGGAGGACCACTCACGCTACGTCCTCCGGTACGCGGTCACCACTCGAGAACCTTTGAGCAACCTTCAATGACACAATCATTTCGCCCATGTCGGCTATCATGGATCTTCTACGAATTTTCATCATATTGTGAAAAACATATAAGTAGCTATTATACTATAATATAAACACAAGAAAATCGTCAATCTTAATCTTCAACTAAGCATTAAATAGCCCGCATCTTTCAGCACACGGTAAAGTTAAAGCATTCAGCAGCTAAAAATACGAAGCACAATAATATTCATCAAAGGAGTGAGACTCATAGCGAGGCGACGTAAAACTTCGTAACGAGGTACGCTCGAGGTTTGAAACACCGACTTTAGAAGACATNAATATAAACACAAGAAAATCGTCAATCTTAATCTTCAACTAAGCATTAAATAGCCCGCATCTTTCAGCACACGGTAAAGTTAAAGCATTCAGC